CACATTATATAAAAAAAATATAGTTCTTAGATCAGTTCTAGTTAGTTTTGCTTTTATTGTTTATTTTTAATTGTAGATTATGTCCGGTGATGATAATCAAAATAAATTTAAAAACATTAACTCGATAATCAAATTTGCTTGAAGTTTATCTGTTTTTTTTTTTTTATCATATATAACATATGCGAAAGAATGTTATTATGCAGAAACAATGGACGATATTTGCAAAAGATATAAATTAAAGTTTAAGAAGAACCAATTCCACCAATGAGTAGAGTACTTTATTGGATAATACAGTCAGAATTTTTGCTTGAAAGAAATGAAAACAAGTTTGCGACATCATCTAGATATCCTATGGGATCAAGTAACAGAATTTCAAGAGACTTGTTCAAAACATCTTCCTTTGGCTTTCTTTGAGACGCTGCCACTTCTTTATAATACTTTTGTCAAACAACGATGTGTTAATGAATCCTGATAAAATTTCATAGATTTACAATAAAATAAAAACTTTTAAACATATCTGAGCAATAAGCATTAGCTGTAATATTATTTGGAGCCCATTTCTTAGTAACAGCTTGTGTTAAACTTCGTACATCCATTTTTGTAGCATAATAAGGACCTACTATGAGATGTGATTTCTATATATCAGTACTACGTAGGTTGATGAAAAAAATGATATTGATATTGTTTATTAAAGATGCTATCCACTATTCTAACCTGACGAAGGAATCTTTCCAGGTGTAACATCGAGTTCGATGTGGGAGCATGTGTATTAGATAGGTCTAGACGACTAATTAATGATCCTAAAATGACAGCTGTCCATGGCTTGTTCTAGCGGAAATATCGAATTTTTATAAGCACTAGAGATGTGTAAGGCAAGGATTTGTCATATCCTACCGGCTCCATCCCACGACTTCCGCTTCCTCCACCTCGTTTGTCCCGACGAACTAGGTTTTTAAAGAACCTCAATCCGTGCACACAAATACACACATCTTTCCCTGACGGTGAGAATGTCATGAAAATCTTTATCACACACATATCGGCACATATCTCTGCTGAAGGTGCTCAGAAACCGTGATGTCATACGAAAAACAGATTTCTTACTGGATGAAGTTGGGTGTGGGTGTGTGGGTATGGGTGTGGGTGTAGGTGTGAGTAAAAAGATCATAACCCACACCCACACTCACACCCACACCCTTCCTATAACCCTCAAATAAGTATACTGTAGATTATTCTTTTTTTTGACGTGACAAAATTGAATAAAGGAAATCTTACCGCAATGCCGACAAAAGTGAGAAGATAGACCAATTGAAAGATGATAGTTTCAATGCCTCGTTGTTTCGGACTCTTATAGGTATTCTCAGTGATTGTCGAATAGATTTTATGTATACCAACAGGTAAATTACATATAGTAATTAAACAAACTTGTATTAACATTAAAGCAGTTAATGTTGATTGTTGTCTTTGTGGTCCTCCTCCTCCTCCTCCTCCTCCTCCTCGTACATTATTATTGATTTGATTTCTGTTAATATTGGCAATTCGATGATGAGTTTGTTTAATATTTCGAAGAGTTAACAAGCCATATATTATCATAATACTAACTGGTATAATGACGAATAGAATAAGATGGATAAAATCATTTAAATAGAGACATACGATATTGATTCCAGCACATGCACCTCGTGAACTTTTTTGATTGGCTGCATGACAATAAAGCATTTGACCATAGCACAAAATTAGAATAGTTACTATTGTAATAATAGCTCTATTGACGTTCTTCATTGATGAAATTATTCGATAATTTGCTTCGATACAACTATTTAGCCAACGTTCAATTGATACAAGAGCAATGAATAACGCTGAAGAACTCAATGAACCAAGAAGAGTAATCATATAAAATTTACATGGAATATCATATCGTGCCGTTAAATCCAAACCAAATGAACTGAAAAATCTAGTTGGTAAACCCAAAAATAATGCAATACAAGCGGCAATCGATGAACTTAAAAAGAGACGAGAACATGGATTTTGCTTTAATTCTCGATCGATACAAAATATAATCACATTTAATATGGCACCGACAGATCCAAATAGAAATATAATTAATGATCCATATCGATTTACATTTGTTGCTATTGAATAGAGTTGAGCAACATTCGACACATCGTTTGTTAATAATAGCGAAGAGAAGTAAAATGAAAGGCTATTTCTTAAGACACAATGATAAAAAAAAAAGTCATTAAGAAAAAGGGATTAAAAGAGATAAAAAAAAGATCTAAATCATATTTAATGAGTTTTTTTTATCCAATTGACATAACTTTTAATCATTTTTTATTTTACTGTGTGAATCGCATTTCTATTATAGCTTTTTTGATTCTTCATAATTCAAGAGAATAAATAAACATTATTGAACAAAAAGGACCATCAATAATAATTCAGTCGAATATACATTATGCTTCAAAGATTAAATAAATATTTCTTTGTTTATAGTTATCGATAAAAAAAAAATAACAATAGTTAATGTATTGTTAAATTTTTTTCAATCAAGCTAATAGAAAAGAAGGTCAAAAGAATGAAAAGAAGTTAAAAGTTACAAGTAACTTTCTAGAAAGACTTGATATGATTCGTTTTCTTCAATCAATGAAAACTTAACTAGATTCATTAGAAAAAAATAAAGAAATAAGAGTCTATTCCACGAGTTTATCAACGTTTATATATATATCAAAATTCTGCATATTTTATTTTTAATCAGTTAATATCAAATCCAGGTTCTACAAAGTCAAACAAAATAAATCTGTCAGGACTTCTGCATAACTTATCCTCTTCAAGTAATATTATGATGCTTTTCAATTTGCTAAATACTTTCTAACTATTTTTGGCATCACTTGATGAAATTCCATATACAACCAGGTCATGTTTTTTTGATTAAACAGAAAAAAATTACAGAAAATTGATTATTTTTAATAAAGGAAAGGTTTTTACATGATAATAATTGATCTTACTGATAGGTCGTAGAAAGAATGAAAGAAAAAAAAATGTAAGAAAATAAATATTGGAAAAGGAAAAAGATTGAAACTAGAAAAATATTGAAAAAAAAATTATGCTTGTAGTTTACATTGATTCTAATCATCTATAATTTATTATTGTTTTTTCTCATTATTCTATTGATCTAGCACTATAGTCAGTTAATGGTACATATCTCATTCATCTCTCTCGTAATTTCATACTCTTATGTTTTATTTTGCATTTTATGGTCGTTATAATGGCTGTGTACAACTTAATCATCCAAATAATGGATGAGATATAATAAATAATCCACTTTTGCATTTCATTTTTTTCACCAATTAATACGTTATATATTAAAAAAAAAACAAAATATGACACAAGATGCAATGTGAAAAGCTCTACAATTTACATGAGTTTGATATTTTTATAGTTGCACTTTTTGTTCATTTTGAAAACAAAAAAGTGTAAGTATAAAAATACCGGTCTTACGCGTAAATGGTAGAATGTTTCACGGTGTGGGTGTGGGTGTGGGTGTAGTTCTTCTCTCATTTACGTCACACCCACACCCACACCCACACCCAAAACGCAATGTTTTTCTTAGATGTACTCGTGTGTCACGCTGTCGAATACATCAAATAGCTTACTAAGGTAAACAATTGTTTCATTTTACTGTAAATACTCTCGAATTAAACGTTAATCTAATTTATAGATCGAAAATATGTGACAGAAAAACAATGTACAACGATTCCAATAATGTCTTGAGTATCAATTTTATTAACAATTAGGCAAATTACAAGAAATAAGATTCGTGGTCTGTTAGATCACAACGTAGTACTGGTGATATGTTTGAGTGAAAGTCTCATCCTGCGCACAACTGTATATTTAACAACCATCGTTGTCGAATACCAAGGACGAAAATAATTACCCTTCATGATTACAATTGATTCCAATGATATCTGTTTTTTTTCTTTTGAATGTATATTCATGCATTAGCCATGTCTATAAACTCGAAGAGATTAAGAGGACACAGACGAACTTTTATCACAACGTCAGTTGATTATCACTAAAACCAATTTTCATCAAAAATATCCACATTTAAAATTTCAGATCAATTTTTCCGGACATTTTCAACTTAAAATTTTCTCTGTATTTCTTGATTTGTCAAGCCGAAAATCCTTATAAGTAAGAAGATGTGTAAACTGAAGGATCAAGAGATGTTAATAGCCTGAAGTTCTCAATGATTAAGGTGTGAATGACGATTCAGAATACGTATGCATGAAGAAAATTGAACAGGACATCCGTATCCTCCACAAAGTTACAATGTTTTTTTTTCCCTCAAACTCTATTCTTTTTTACCTTTTCTTCCGTTCTTCTTTTTACATCTGCGAAATCATCTGTGTAGTGAGAAGCAAAATGAATGTAACATTTCGAGCTCACGTGTATGATTGTTACTTCCTTTCGTTTCTGTATATACGTCTATTTGATTAGTCACAATGTTGGCAAAATCCGAAATAAGACACGATACAAAAATATAACATAAGATTACGAAAAAAGTTGCAAGCACTTTTACGAAGCATATTTTGGTACCCTCAAGTAAGGATAAAAAAAACTACAATTGCTGCTTATATCTGAGAATCGAAATTTTTATTTACTGTCTTTATCGAGTAAATTCATTGTGCTAAATCTGACAAATATGTAATCCCATAAATTGTTACAGCTATCGTATACGATGCTATATTTGTGTCGAATTCGAATAGATTCGAGACCAATTGAGTCAGTGTTCTTCATTGTATTTGACATACTCATTGAAAACTTTCGAAACTCCCAATGTCATTTCCTTCCTTAAAAATCTGTAAGCTTCAAATGACCAAAGTAGTATTAAAAGTTTTGTATATTAAACAAGCAATCATAAACTTTGATGTATCCGATATTTAAACAAAAGAAAACTAAGATTGTATTTATTAATTGTCTTCTTCTTCTGTTTAGAATTACTTCTAATAAAAAGAAAGAAGAAGTTTATTGTTAAATGTTTTATTTTATCTGAAAAAAATAATGTCTAATGTATATCTTCTTGATCTTCCAGTCGAACTATTTTATCGAATATTCGACTATCTTGAAGCCCAGATAATATCTTCAGTTCGACTAGTATGTCAACAACTATATTCGATTACGAACACTTACGATCGATATCATCTCAATATTAATCGCCAATCAAAACGTCTGTTAAAACCGCTCAGTCGATGGATTCCACCAGAAAGTATTATTTCATTAACATTTGATATCCCCGAACGTGGGAACTATTATTACTTCTGGCATATCCACACAGAATTTGAAGATGATCAACTAGTTCGTCAATTCTTATCATCTTTCGTTGGTCATCGATTTACTCGACTTCGTTCATTGGTCATAAATAAATTTCATGGGAGAGATATAGACTTTCTTTCACAGAACTTGAATACTAATTCTGTGAGATCGCTCTCGATTGATCTGTGTCGCAATGATCTGAACAAAACAGTAACTTTTCTTAATGCTATTCTCAATCAAAATTCTATTCGAACTTTGTCTTTCAAGAATCCAGAACTTATCATAAATGATATTCTATGGCCAGTTAATTGTACATTACAACACTTGAAAATTGATGTTTGTACATATGTTCAATATCTTATTTTTCTTAGTAATTTGTCTAATTTAAAAACGTGTATGGTAGGCACATTGAACACGTGGGATTTTACTTATACTAACGCTTCACTTGCTGGCAAACATCCTTCGTTATTAACATCTCTAACAATTAATAACTGTACTTTACCCATGGAACATATAGAATTATTACTTTACCAAACACCAGCACTTAATTATCTTAAATTAATATCCTGTGAACGTACATTCGACACTATTTTTGATGGTTATAACTGGGAACAGTTTATTCTTAATAAATTATCTCAACTCAAACAATTTGAATATTTCTTTTCATTTACTAGCACGATAAACAACTATATGAAAGTTCTGAATCATGTTCTTACTTCATTTCAAACTCCATTTTGGCTAAAAGAAAAACGCTGGTTTACTATCTGTGGCTATGTATTTGGTTTCGAAATATTTCAACTTCATACAACTAAAATTAATATGACTGATTCAGATAATTTAATCAAATTTGAGAAGCTAGCCGAAAACAATACATATCGTTTCATTGGACAACCGCCGAAATATGATAGCAAAAAAGTATGTGTCTTAATGTCTTTGGTATATATATGGATAAGCGAAAATATCGTGTTACATTAGTCACAAAAAAATCAAACTTATTAGTCAATAAAATCGTACTTTTTATGTTCTATTCGCATCTCTGCTATTCACATACCTATCATTACTATCTTTCATCATTTGGTGTCTAGTTTTTTCATCGATAACTAACTCACAGAAGTAGAACTTCATGTCTCTTGCCATTACTTGCTGAAAAAGTCTCCTTCTGCATTAAACTTTAGTTCTAGTTGTTAGAGTTTGTAATGAGGAGGGGCTGCTAGAAGTGTCAAAGTTTGAATTTACTAATTTCTTCATTCAAAGGCATCATAATTTCATGTAGTTATTGTATCCTCCATTTATAAATCAGTTAAGACTTCAGTCTACAAATCATTTATCTAAAAAATGAATGGTATAATTTGTTGAATTTTAATTTTTTTTTCAATAGACATACGTCGAACTGGATCTTAGTAATAAAACCATTGACGATGCCATCGCTGAGTATCTATCTTTTGCACTACAAGATGACAAGGTAAGAGTAGTTTTTATTCTCATTATCTTAGATTGATGTTTTGCCCTGCTTCATTGATCTTTACTAAGTTGAGAATAGCATAAAGTCATAGTTATATGATGGATGATCTAGTCTAGAATACATGTTTTTTGATAACATAAAAAAAAAACTATCAATACATTTTTAAAATATAGACTCTCGACAAGTTAAACCTAGCTGGAAATCAAATTGGAGATAGTGGTGCAACACATCTTGCAACTGCTTTGTTAAACAATAAGGTAACATATATTACTAGCAGTTACTTTCTATGTTTTCATATGCATCAAAAGACACTTGTAGAGCTCAATCTTCAAAACAATCGAATTGGACTACGTGGTGCACAATATTTTTTCAAGTTACAACAAAATAATACAGTATATTTTGCTTGTAATTCTTCTCTGACGGTCTCACATTGTTTTTGAATTTTAAGACATTGAAGACGCTTCAAATGAGTAACAATGCCGATAATTTCTGTTCCATGGTTGAAATCGTCTACAGAATAAGATATGATAAGGTAATTAATAGTTTTATCCTCTTTGATAATAGGTTATTTCTATCATATTTTATAGGGATTAAATTCATTAAACCTTGCAAAACATCAGATTGGTGATCAAGAAGCACAATGTCTGGCTGAAGCACTAAAAATTAATAATGTATTTGGATTCGGTGATTTTTACTAAGAAATATTATGGTTTGCATCTTTAGACGCTATTTTCACTTGATCTCAGTAATAATTATCTCAGTAATATCGGCATAGAATTGATAGCTAATGCATTAAGAAACAACACCGTAATCGATGGCCTTCTATGATTTTGCAGGATATATTCTCATTTGTTTGTTTATAGACCCTCTCAAAAATTCATCTCAATGGAAATCCTAGTCATCTTTGTGCCGCGGTCACAACAATGCAACGATTGAAATGTAACATGGTAAACTATAATGTCCATCTTGTTCTCATACAATATAATAATATTTTTCCTTTTGTTTAAAGTCACTGACCAAATTGAAAATTCAAGGATGTCGAATTGGTGATAAAGGTGTACAGTATTTGACTGATGTTTTCCAATATAATAAGGCAATTATAATATATCTCTTATGTAGTATATATTTCTATTCTTTGTACAGACCATTATTACAGTAAATCTCAGCAATAATGAAATTAGTGATGATGGAGTAAAATATCTCGTTGATGTCTTGAGAAACAATATGGTCAGTATCATCTTGATAGTAAATTTCGTCTATTCAAGGCACATTCTATGTTAAGACGCTCACTATATTGAACCTTAGTTATAACCGAATTTGTGACGATGGAGTAAAACATCTTGTCGATGCGATTCAAAACAATACGGTATATTGTGTTGTCACACACCCGCCATTTATCACCTCTAATATTCACAAGAGGAATTCAATTGTATAGTGCTTGTCTTTTTATAGACACTTACTGTTCTTGATCTTGAAGGAAATCAAATTGAAGATAGAGGAGCCGAATATCTTGCAGATCTGCTACAGAACAATAAGGTATATTGTAACTTTCATTTCTGAAAGACAAAAATATCTACGTAAAAGTTCAATATATTAATTAACCTAGACACTTATCACTATAAATCTTTGCAACAATCAAATTGGGATGATTGGTGGACAATGTTTCTTCAAGTTACAACAAAATAATACAGTATATTCTGCTTGAAGTTCTTGTCTTACTCTCTTACATTGTTTTTGAATTTTAAGACATTGAAGAAGCTTCAAATGAGTGACAATGCTGATAATTTCTGTACCATAGTTGAAATGGCTCATAGAATAAGGCACGATAAGGTAGTAGATTGTTTTGCTCTCTTTGAGATCTAGATTATCTATATGAAATTCTGCAGGCACTGAATTCATTAAACCTGGAAAAGCGTCAGATCAATGACCAAGTGGCACATTGTTTGGCTGAAGCACTAATAATTAATAATGTATTTCGATGAAAGCAGTTCTTTTCTAAAAAAAATATTATGTTTTACATCTTTAGACACTGTCTTCACTTAATCTTAGAAATAATTATCTTAGTGATATTGGCATAGAATCGATAGCTGATTCATTAAGAAACAACACCGTAACGGATAGACTCACATGATGTGATGTATCGTTTTATTTATTCGTTTATAGACACTCTCAAACATCTATTTAAATGGAAACCCCAGTCATCTTTGTGTCGCGGTCACAATGATGCAACAATTGAAATGTGATATGGTAAACTATAATCTATATTCTATTTTTCACCCAAAAAAGTAATATACTTTCTCTAAAGTCACTGACGAATCTGACAGTTCAAGGATGTCGAATTGGTGATAAAGGTGTACAATATTTGACTAATGTTTTCCAGTATAATAAGGTAATTATTATATTTCTTGATATGTAGTCTATTTCTATTCTTTGTATAGGCGATCAGTACAATAAATCTCGACAACAATGAAATTAGTGATGATGGAATAAAATATCTAGTTGATGTTTTGAAAAACAGCATCGTCAGTATCACCTTGACAATAAATTTTGCCTATTCAATACATTTTTTTTTTTATATCAAGACACTCACTACGTTAAGTCTTGGTTATAATAGAATTAGTGACAACGGAGTAAAACATCTCGTTGATATGATTCAAAACAATACGGTATGTTTATGCCATCACTCTTCTTTCTTTTTTATTACATCTTTCAGTATAAAAATAATTAATTTCAAGATAATTAGATTATCTCTATATGGAGATAGATTATTACATCACCTGCCTCTAATATTGACAAGAAGACACATAATATATTTGCACGCTCAATAACCAGTCGACTTTATCTGTACAATATTTTGATTTTTTTACAGACACTTATTATGCTTGATCTTGAAGGAAATCAAATTGAAGATAAAGGAACTGAATATCTCGCAGATCTTCTACGAAACAATAAGGTATATTAAAATTTTAGATTCTACAAAATAATATAACTACTTAGAATTCCAATCTTTTACTTCACCAAGACACTTATCACTTTGAATCTTCAGAAAAATCGTATTGGTGACATCGGTGCACAACATCTTCGTGAAGTTTTGCAAATAAACAAAGTATAAGATGGTATTGAAGAAGATTCTTTCGCATCTTACAATGCTTTTTCAGACACTTTTAAAGTTTACTCTAAGAGGTAATCAAAGTACTTTATGTACAAAGGTTCAAATGGAACATGAGGTAGCACTTGAAATGGTGAGATAGTGCTCATTTTTCCCATTATGTTTTACTTTTTATTATGACACATTTTAGATGAGAAGCACAGTAGATTGGACAGGTCATCAGATACAAGAAGAAAAATTAGAGTGCTTGAGTACTGCGCTACAAACAAATTACGTTAGTAAACTCAATAATGTTCCATAGATATTTCATTCCTGTTCTCAAATAGATAACAATAGTTTTGATTCTTGATGAGAATCAAATTGGAGATAATGGCATAAGATATCTCGTCGATGGCTTACTGAGAAATAAGGTAAAAAAAAGAGATAGCACTTCATTAATAATTCGTTCTATACTTTATACGTAGACGTTGAAAGAATTGAGTCTTCGAAAGAATCGAATTGGTGATGAAGGAATGAAATCTATTGCCAATGTTTTGAAAGAAAACATGGTAAAGATTATAATTAGTAGTAGATTTTTTGTATATAAGATAGTTTTCTTGTAAAGACACTTACTACATTGAATCTTAGCAAGAACTCAATTGGAAATGATGGAGTGAAATATCTTGCTGAAGTTTTGAAAGAAAATATGGTGAGTACCAATTTGATTGTCATTTTCTACTATCAAAAGTATCCTTTTCGACAAGACACTCACCACATTAATTCTTTCCAATAATCTAGTTAGTGATAATGGAGCGAAATATGTAGCTGATATGATAAAAAATAATACAGTACGTAATATTGCCATTTGTCTCATGTGTGTTAAGTTTTTCACCACAATATCTGAGTATTAGTATTCATATTTTATTCTTCACAAACGTTTCGACTTATGTGATAACTGGGACCAAGTTTTAGGCTTTGAATTAACCTTCAATACTAAGAATAGATAGTAGCGAGATACACGTTTGTGCTATGTAATGGAGTGAAATCTCTTGTTTATTTTTTGAGAAACTCACTACATTGAAGTTGGAAAACAATCGAATTGGTGATGATGGAGCACAAAAACTCGTTACTGCTTTAAACATCAACACTGTAAGTTACATCATTGAAAAATATTAACTCTGCTCCATGGCTCATCTATTTTATTAGACGTTGTGCAATATTCTTCTCAGTGGCAATGCCACCCATTTCTGTGTCGTAGTTGAAGTTTTGCATCAGCTACGACATGGAAAAGTAATCTGACTTTCTTTCTTTTTCATTGACATCATTATACTTTTTAGATGTTTAACTCGTTGAATTTTTCAAAGCATTCTATGAAAGATGAAGAAGTTCCATTTTTAGCTCAATCATTGATGAATAACAAGGTGACTTTTCTCTAGATTTAGTCTTCCGACACATTTATACTCATATTTCAGACAGTTGTCGAATTGAATCTTTCTTCAAATCACATTGGAGAGAATGGTGCTCAACATCTGGGCAATGCTTTACGAAATAATACAGTATATTGAGTCTTCCTAGTATCGGTTTAGCTCCACGTTTTTTTTTCTTTACGTAGACACTCTCTTTAATGAATTTGAACATGAACTCGATTGGATACAAAGGTTTACAATATCTTGTTGATTCTTTAATTATTAATAAAGTAAAATAAATTAGCATAATCATTGTGCTCAGATTAATATTAATTATTAGACTCTAACTATTCTGAAACTTCGAGAAAATAAAATCACAGATGAAGGAACCTACTGTTTAATAGACTTACTATTTAACAATAATGTACGACAGTCTTTACGATCGTCATTCTAATGTCTGCTTTCTTTGCTATTTTGTAGACTCTTACCGAATTAGATTTGTCTTTCAATAAAATCACAAATCATGGTGCAGATAATTTAGCATGCGGTTTACAACAGAATAAAGTAAACTATTTTCACATATGGCTTCTCTTACACTTCTCAGAAAATTCCCAAATCTTTTTTCACTTTGAAATAAGTAGAAAAATCTTGCTTCACATTATTCGATAATCTTTAAGATTATATTCATATAATGGCGTCTTGAATTTTTCACATAGACACTTACTGTGTTGAATCTTTCTGAAAATCAAATTGGAGATGCAGGTGCTCAAAAGTTAGCAGATACTCTGCAAGTTAATAAAGTAAAAACTTCTTGATTCGATATTTACATCGCTATCATCTATTTTGGTTGTAGACATTGATCAGTTTACAACTTATACAGAATCAAATCAGCAAACGAATTCAACAAGAATTGAATTCAAAAGACTCCAGAATTGCAATAAAATGATTGGATTGCATTATTATTAGTCAAGAAATTTCCTTTATTTCACATCATTCATATGAATAAACAAGAATAATACTCGTATTGCATAGGCTGAATATTGCACCTCGTAATATTTTGCAGAGGTCATAGTTACCAAGGACTTTTAACCTCTGTTTTGAGTTGTTCAAGTCTCGATGGTGAGAGTGGGTGACTAGTATTATAAGAAAATTACGTTCAACTAATATTAAATTTGCAATTACGAATATAGATTGGGTAACATCT